ATTCCGGTCAAGGGCATGTACCTTGGTTGCGGGCACATGCCCACCCAGTAGGGGGTATGCAGGAGGCAGCTGATCGATGTTTCTCTCTCATCGATGTTTCTAGCTCTCTATCCCTCTCTCTTCTTCTCTGTAAAAAATCAATAAAATATATATATTTTTTTAAATGAGGATAAACACAGACCTCCAAGGGCTGTTGGAAGGATTGAATACTGTGCATATAAAATACCCCAGGATAAGGTGAACAATCAGTAAATGACAGCTGTTTCACTCAACGTTTATTGACATTGACGTAGGTGCTGACAATACAAAGATGAGTAAGTCACAGTCAATAGCCCTTCCCGCAAGGAGCTCACAGTCTAGTGGGAGGTGCAGATAAAGAACAGCTCATTACAGTACGGGCCCGGCGGACGGGAACAGCTATGATAAACCTGGGCACGCAGGGGAAGCACCAGTGAGGGACCACATCTGCCTTGAAGGGAGGGAATCAGGAATGGCCTCACAGTCCTAAGAGGTGACTGAGTTTGTCCATTGGAGATTGGGAGGGGGCTCATTAAATCAAGAGGAAACAGCATGAAAACACAAGGTATGTGCTCGCTTCGGCAGCACATATACTAAAATTGGAACGATACAGAGAAGATTAGCATGTCCCTTGCGCAAGGATGACACTCAAATTCGTGAAGCGTTCCATATTTTTCTCAAAATGGATACAGGACTTAAACATCAAACGGGAAACCATAAAAATACTAGAAGCATCCACAGGCAGCAAAATCTCAGACGTATGCCAAAAGAACTTTTTCACTGATACTGCCCCTAAGGCAATGGAAGCTAAAGAGAAAATAAACAAATGGGACTACATCAAAATAAAAAGCTTTTTTTACAGCAAAAGAAACCATCAACAAAACAACAAGAAAGCCCACTGTGTGGGAGAACATATTTGCAAATAACACCACTGATAAAGGTTTAATCTCCAACATCTACAGACAGCTGATACAACTAAATAAAAGGAAAATGAATGATCCAATTAAGAAATGGGCAATGGACATAAATAGAATATTTTCAAAAGAAGACAGAAGGAAGGCCAAACGGCACATGAAAACATGCTCAAAGTCACTAATTATCCGAGAGATGCAAATTAAAACAACAATGCGGTACCATCTCACACCTGTCAGAATGGCCAACATCAACAAATCAACAAACGACAAGTGTTGGCAAGGTTGCGGAGAAAAAGGAACCCTCGTGCACTGCTGGTGGGAATGCAGACTGGTGCAACCACTGTGGAGAACAGTATGGAGTTTCCTCAAAAAACTGAAAATGGAACTCCCATTTGACCCAGTAATCCCACTTCTAGGAATATATCCCAAGAAACTAGAAACACCAATCAGAAAGGATATATGCACCCCTATGTTCATAGCAGCACAATCCACAATAGCTAGGATTTGGAAACAGGTGCCTGTCAGCAGATGATTGGATCAAAAAACAATGGTACATCTACACAATGGAATACTATGCTGCCATAAAAAGAAGGAATTCTCATCATTTGCAGCAACCTGGATGGAATTGGAGAACATCATGCTGAGTGAAATAAGCCAATCAATGAAAGAGAAACACCACATGACCTCACTCATTTGTGGATAATAAAGAACATTATAAACTGATGAACCAAAAGATAGATATAGAGACAGTAAAGCAACAAGCAGATTGCCAAACTACAGCGGGGAGTGGAGGAGAATCAGGGGGAGATAATAGATCAACCGAAGGACTTGTATACATGCATATAAGTACAACCAATGGACATAAAACTCTGGGGAGGGAGGGGATTTGTGAGAGGGAGGGAGGGGGGCAAAAAAAATCAATAAAATATGTAAAAAAAAAAAAAAACACAAAACACAAGGTATGTGCAAAATGATTAGTTTGGTGTAACTGGAGCAAAGGAGCATGGGAGATGGGGCATGTGTCAGGAACAGAACCTGGTTTTATTTGCTTTTCTGCCCCAGATAGTGTTATTTTCCTTGTTGAAATGGGTATTTTGGAGAGGAAGTGTTTCTTTAAAAAAAAACAACACCTATTTATTTATTTATTTATTTATTTATAATATACAAAACAATCAGTCTCTATGCAGTCTCCAATTTCAGTCCTCAGGTATCAGGGTTCTCTCCTGCGAGTTTTTCATTGATTATTCAGGAAGTTTTTCTGCATTTTAGTTGTAATAGCAGTTTGTTCCTGAGAGCATGTCCATGCAGCATCCACTTACTCTGCCGCCATTTTTATTCCTAGGAAGTGTTTCTTTATTCTCTTTAACAGTCCTACACCTCTCACAAGTTCTAAACTGCAGTTCGTAGTGGTTAGAGGGAGAACAAATGAACAAAAAACCCACAAGAAAACTTGTGGCAGTCAGGTTTACAATGTAGTTTCATGTAAGCATTCAAGCAGTTCCTTTGGAAAGGAGTAAGCCCAGCATCTTAGGATAACTGCTCAGGGTCTCCGCACAACTTTGCTCCCTAAGATGGCACGTGGACGCTCATATTCATAGCATTTATTCACAATAGCCAACAGGTAGAAAAACCCAGGAAACTATCGACAGGTGGGTGAATAAACAAGAGGTGATATACAGACATATGAACATATTACTCAGCCATGACAAACAATGCAATTTGACACATACTACAACATGGATGGACCTTGAAAACTTTTGCTACGTGAAATAAGCCAGACCCAAAGAAACATGACTCCACCCATGCGCGGTATCTGGAATGAGCAAACGCACAGAGACAGAAAGTAGAATAGAGGTCACCAGTGGCTGGAGGGCAGGGGTGGTGGCGGAATGGGCAGTTATTATGTCATGGGCATAAAGCTGCTGTTTGGGATGGTGAAAAGGTTCCGGTGATGGTTACACAACATTGTGAAGGTACTTAATGCCACGAATTGTACACTTCAAGATGGTTACAAGGGTAAATAACTAAGTTAGGCATATTTCACCACAAACACACAACATAGATGGCATCTGGGTAGCTTCTGTGGCCTCGTCGTGTCAAGGAAGGTGGGATCCTGAGACCATGCCCTGTCGTCTGGCTCCTCTACCTCTTAACTATGTCCTTTGTCTGCCGGCTGTTGCCTCAGACAGTCTCATCAGTGCCCATGGGACTTTCTCACCTTGCTGCCTGGGCTTAGGGTCCCCTTGGTTCTCTCACTAACAAACAGCCACCTCTCCCTATCACAGAACCCCAGCTGGGGCGTTCCCTAGTCCAGCAGTCACCAGCCTTTCGGACCTCACAGACCACTGGGTGGGGACTGCTGCCTCGTCAAATCCTCCAGGGCAAAAGCTCAACCCCCAGAGCCTTGCCCTGCCCGCAGGGCTGTGCTGGTGTGTGGTCAGCCCAGGAGAGCCCTGTTATATTATTTTCCACACTTTACAGATGAAGAAACTTAGAGGTCAGCTCAGAGGCAGACCCAGGGCGCTCTGAGTGCAAGCCCAGCCCACACAGGAGCCAAGTGGGTGTGAGGAGTGAGGATGGGATTTTATACTGCACTTGGGAGCTTGAACTTTATTCTTTAGATAAAAGGGAACCAGCAGAACACCTGTTCCAGGGGAGGAGCTCCATAGCACCTGACATGATACCTGTTTACTTGCACTTTATGACCTGTTTCTCCCAGTGGATTGAAAGTTGAAAGTAAATGGGGGCAAGGCCTTTGTTTTGTTCACTGCTGTGAACATGCCTGAGAAAGCCTAAACACTTTATATATATATATACAGTAGTCTTATTTAATCTAAAAACCTATGACCTCCACTCCTCGACCCCGACTCCACCCCCAGATAAAGAAAATAAACTTCAGCCCTAACCAGTTTGGCTCAGTGGATAGAGCGTTGGCTTGGGGACTGAAGGGACCCGGGTTCAATTCCGGACAAGGGCATGTACCTTGGTTGCGGGCATATCCCCAGTGGGGGGTGTGCAGGAGGCAGCTGATCGATGACTCTCTCTCATCAATGTTTCTAACTCTTTATCTCTCTCCCTTCTTCTCTGTACAAAATCAATAAAGTATATATTTTAAAATATATATATATATATATATATTTTTATTGATTTCTCACAGAGAGAGGGATAGTCAGAAACATCGATGAGAGAGAATCATCGATCAGCTGCCTCTTGCACACCCCCTACCAGGGATGTGCCCGCAACCAAGGTACATGCCCTTGACCGGAATCAAACCCGGGACCTTTCAGTCCAAAGGCCGACGCTCTATCCACTGAGCCAAACCGGTCTCGGCTTAAAAAAAATTTTAATAATGTACTAATGTCTTTAACCTGAAGTTAAAACTTCTGGGTAAGGGTAATGCCTTAGCAAACTTATTAGTCAACAGAGCGGCATGTGGCTTGTGAGCTGCAGTTTGCCAACCACTGCCCTAGCCGGTCTGGCTCAGTGGATGGAGCGTCAGTCTGCACACTCAGGGGTACCAGGTTCGATTCTGGTCAAGGGCACATGTCAGAGGTTGAGGCTGGGTCCCCAGTGGGAGGTGTGCAGGAGGCAGCCCATCAATGATTCCCTCTCATCACTGATGTTTCTATCTCTCTCTTCTCCTTTCTTCTCTGAAATCAGAGAGAGAGGGGGTGGGGGGAGAGAAAGAGAGAGAACTGCTATACAGCCCTGCTGCAAAAAGCTACTCTGGTAGGGAAAAGGCTTGAGGCTGAGAAGATTCAAGAGGCCAGCCAGTTTAGCTAGATACACATCTGTCCTCCACCCTGGCCTTGCATAACGGTGACTTTTGGTTTGCCTTCCTATTCCAGGTCTCCAGACGACGAAGCCCTGACCCAAGGCACCCTCCCCCTGGCAGCCACCTGCCCTGCAGCCATCACTCACCTTCTCCAGCCCTACCTCTGCTGGCTTTGGGACTGACTGTCTCCATGCAGCCTCCAGGCCCTGCCCTGGAGAGGAGGACTGCCATGTCAGGACCTTGGTGTGCCCCATGAGGCCCCCGAGGCTAGCTCCCCGGCACACCCTGGCACGATGTTGGCCAACTTCTCCGCGAACGCTTCCACCAACAGCTCCGATCCCCCGTGCCCTGACTACCGGGCCACGCACCGGCTGCACATGGTGGTGTACAGCCTGGTGCTGCTCCTGGGGCTCCCGCTCAACGCGCTGGCCCTCTGGGTCTTCCTGCGCGCGCTGCGCGTGCACTCCGTGGTGAGCGTGTACATGTGCAACCTGGCGGCCAGCGACCTGCTCTTCACGCTGTCGCTGCCCGTGCGCCTGTCCTACTACGCGCTGCACCACTGGCCCTTCCCGGACCTCCTGTGCCAGACGGCGGGCGCCATCTTCCAGATGAACCTGTACGGCAGCTGCATCTTCCTGACGCTCATCAACGTGGACCGCTACGCGGCCGTGGTGCACCCGCTGCGGCTGCGCCACCTGCGGCGGCCCCGCGTGGCGCGGCTGCTGTGCCTGGGCGTGTGGGCGCTCATCCTGGTGTTCGCCGTGCCCACGATGCTCGTGCACAAGCCGGCGCCCTGCAGCTACCGCGGCCTCCCGGTGCGCTTGTGCTTCGAGAGCTTCGGCGACAAGCTGTGGAAGAGCCGGCTGCTGCCGCTCGTGCTGCTGGCCGAGGCGCTGGGCTTCCTGCTGCCGCTCGTGGCGGTGCTCTACTCGTCGGGCCGCGTCTTCTGGACCCTGGCGCGGCCCGACGCCACGCAGAGCCGCCGCCGGCGGAAGACGGTGCGCCTCCTGCTGGTCAACCTGGTCATCTTCCTGCTGTGCTTCGTGCCCTACAACACCACGCTGGCCGTGTACGGGCTGCTGCGGGGCGACCTGGTGGCGGCCAGCCCCGCCGCCCGCGACCAGGTGCGCCGGGTGCTGATGGTGTTGGTGCTGCTGGCGGGCGCCAACTGCGTGCTCGACCCGCTGGTGTACTACTTCAGCGCCGAGGGCTTCCGCAACACCCTGCGCGGCCTGGGCTCGCCCCTCGGGCCCCGGACCTCGGCCTCCAACGGGGACGGAGGGACGCTCGCCCAGCTGCCCCGGGAGGCCACCCTCACCGGCAGGCCCGCCGCCTCCAGCCAAGGACTGATCAGGCATGCCAGTCCCCGGACGCCCATCCCCGACGATTCTGTCCTCTAAACGAACACGGGGGGCCCCCAGTTACACCCACCTCCACCCCCCCGACGCACCTCTCGCACTGGAAAACGTGCGGGAGGGCCGTGGATCAGACACTTGGATTTTTCTGGGTGGCAACTCCAACTCATACATGCAGAAGGAGCCAAGTGTGGGAGCAAGGGGCACGGGGAAGGAAGGTGTGCTGGTGGAAACAATTAGTGGTGATGATGAGCATGGAAAAGACCCCCGTCCCCAGCCTGTAGGCAGCGGTGGTGCTGGGAGCCTGCCAAGGCAGGGGCAGTGAAATGCCCTTGCAGGGGACTCGAAACACTGCCCAGCACTAGTCCATGTAGCAGAAAAATGGACGTCCTGGTTTTGGACTGGCCTCCGCAGGCTTAGGGCCGTAGGTGCCACCCACATTTCATTCCCACCTGGGCTTCCCCCTTCCCGGGCATTGAGGCATAATACAAGCGTTTACTGGATAAGACAGAATTGGTTTCCTTCTTGTTTCAAGACTTGTAATAATTTAGACCCGGCCTTAACATGGGGTGGTTGGGGGCAGGGCAAAACTGTGAGTGAGAAGGTTTTGTTTTCTCCAGAATCTTGGTCCCCGTTCCCCTTCCTAGGTCTTTTCTTATTCTACACTTCAACCCCCTTTCAAGACTTCCTCCATTCTAGATCCTAAGTCTACTTCTGCCACCCCCCTCCTCCCCACTGTTTCATCTAGAGTAAGGAAACAATTTTTTGTACTAAAGTAACAGTTTGCATTTTTTTTTTTTTTGGTCTCAGACCCTTTATACCCTTAAAAATGAAGAATTCCAAAGAGCTTTTGAATATACTTAATTCTTTTGATACTTACCATATTAGACATTAAAATGAAATTTTCAAAACATACAGATCTGGCCACTGTGGTTCAGCTGGTTGAGCATCATGCATGCACCGAAAAAGGTCCTTGGTTCGATTCCTGGTCAGGGTACATCCCCAGGATTTCGGTCTGGATTCCTAGGGGGCATGCAGGAAGCAGCCAATCCAAATCTATGTTTCTCTCACACATCGATGTTTCTCTTTCTCCCTCTCCCTCTCTAAAATAAATTAAAAAACATATTTGAAAGGACAGAAATACATAGGCACACATTCCATTACCTGTGAGAGCAATATCTTTCATTTTTAAAAATATATATTTTATTGACTTTTTACAGAGAGGAAGGGAGAGGGATAGAGAGTTAGAAACATCCATCAGAGAGAATCACCGATCAGCTGCCTCCTGCACACCCCCTACTGGGGATGTGCCGGCAACCAAGGTACATGCCCTTGACCAAAATCGAACCCGGGACCTTTCAGTCCAAAGGCCGACGCTCTATCCACTGAGCCAAACCAGTTTCCGCAAGCAATATCTTTCATGAAGCTTCTGGAAAACCCTACTATACATACTTGTGATAAGATGAAAGTGAAAAGAACAAACGACAATAGTATTATGAAAATAGTTTTGACCTCATGGACTTCTCAAAGAGTCAGTCCCCAGGTCACACTTTGAGAACTATACCTAAAGTATTAACGTTCTCGTGTAACTTCTTCCCAGGCATTATATAGAGTGCTTTTTATTGCTGTGGAAGAGAGCAATGCTCAACAAATCAATAATTGTAGCTCTTAAGGCTTGGGGCTTGGGGTGGAGGTCGGGGGGGTCAGTAGGAGCTGCACACCCAATGGAACCTGGCCTTGGGCTTGCCGGAGCAGCCGCCCTAAGGTGGGGGTGAGGTGGGGGTGGAACTAGTCGCAGGCACACTGGGGAGTAGGGGGTGGGGCTTCTCCCAGGGGGGCGGGAACTGTGCCACAGCCAGGAAGGAAGCTTACAGGGAAGTTAGAGTGTGATGGGAGGACAGGGATAGGCTGGCTGTTCTTAGCAAGCTGGAGGCAAAGGAAATGGACGACTGGTTTAGGGGCCACCTACTGCTTTCTTCCCTTTTTACCGGAGTCGGAGTCGGGAGCTGGTAGGGGTTGCAGAGTTGCCACTCGGACATCTTGAGACCGACATTAGCGAGGGAGTTGACCCTGACATTAGCGAGGGAGTTGTTGCCATGCCTAGGTCTTGTATGCCTTTCTGCGCCTGTCTCTCGATGCTGTATGTTTCTCTCTCTGTGAGTGTACGCGCGCTCGTTGAGTATCTGGGACTTTTTGTCTCTGTGTGATCCGTCCAGAGGGTGATTTACAGGTGTAACGTGACCCCTAGTGGCCAAACCGGAGAACTGACCCAGATTCCTCCGCGATAGCCTCTAACTCCGGGCCTTCCACCATCTGGCGGGAGGTTAGAGTCCTGGAGCAGGCCCTCACCCCCTGCTGTTCTGAAAGAGGCCTGCAGGTTAGCACCTGCTCCTTCTTGCTTCATTCATCCTTAGGGTTCAGGATCCGTGCCCTTCCAACTCTGGGATTAACAAACAGAACCGAACACAATTTTTAAAAACTACTTGATTATTTTTATTTGCGGATACATGAATAAATTCCAAAGTAATTAAAACTAACATAGCAAGGTTCTTCTACATACTATATAATTTCCTTATTTATTTATTATAATTTTTATAATTTATTGTCTGTCTCCTCCCTCTCCCCAGGAAGAATGTAAGCTCCCTGAGGGCAGGAATTTTTGTTTGACGGTTCTCTGACGGAGCTTAGAACAAATAAATGTTTGTGGAATGTTGCACAATTGGGTCTTGCTGTGAAGTAGTTTACTATCCAGTGGGAACGAAAGAACAAATCAGCTATAATTACCATTTAAAACAGAAGATGCAAGAATGCAGAGTAAGCCCTGGGCGGTGTTGCTCAGTGGCTGAAGTGTTGGCCCAGAGTATCAAAGGGCCTCAGGTTCAATTCCGGTTCAAATCAGGGGCACATAATTGGATTCCAGAATCAATTCCCAGCCCTGATTAAGGAAAGTTTTGAAGGCAACCAATCAATGTGATTCTCTCTCTGTTCTTCCTCATCTCCTTCCATTCTCTCTAAAACTTAATGGGGAAAATATCCTCATTGAGTTTTTTTTTTTTTTTTTAAAGGGAGGGGACACAGAGTAAGGTTAGCAGCTCATTTAGTGGGCAATGGGAAGCCCCTGAAGGTTTTGCTAACCTTGACACAGTGTGGGGTAAACCGTAGGAAATCAGGTGCAGAGAGTCTAAGAGAAAGGAAGACTGGTCAGGGAGCTGTTAAAATAGTCCAGAAAAGTGTGACGGTGGCCTGCGGAGGTGGATGGAGGTAGGCTGTCTCCAGTGTGAAATCTGATGTTTAAGCTCTGGTGGGCTCTTTCCCCACGTTCGGTATACCCCAAGGGTTTCCATCACAAGAATCGATTAAGATGTGGCAGGCAGAGGAGAAATGACCAAAACCTGACGAGTAACAGGCTGGGGAAGTTTAAGAAAACCCATAGCCATTACCATTTTCACAGGATTCCCCAATTACTGCGTGGACTGCATGATGGAGACAAGATGTGAGGAATCCAGAGTCCGTGTCCTGCAGTTGCCTCAGTCGAAGTTTAGGGAAATCCAAAGGAGGAAACCTAAACGAAGGGAGGAGAGCTTTAACAAGTTTTTAGCATGCTCTCTGAATGCCTGGATCTCAATTTAGTGCTTAAAATGCATAATCTAACTTATTACAACAACTCACTGAGTTAGGGATGATGATTACCCCATTTTACAGATGAAGCACCCTGGAGAAGTTAAGGTCTTAAGGTCACACAACCAGGAAGTGGCACAGTATCTCTGGCTCCCAACATCCTAGTGTATCTCCCCTTCCTGGCACACCCCATCTCATCCCCGCCTATATGGCATCCACCCTTCCCTACTTTCTTTTCTTCCCTTTCCTTCCCCGTGAAGTCACCTCTCCTTCACCTCTCGACTGAATTCTCACCTTGGACCTACCGTACCATCTCAGCCTCCTTTCCCAGTGCTTCCTCCTTGCTCTCACCCACACCTGAGCCTTTCCTCTGCTCTGGCCTCTGGCGCACGCCCCCCTCCCCCCATGCAGAACACAGTGTGGCCGGGCATGCTCAAGCAGGATGGCTCAGCCCCGGTCCCTTCCCCCAGTGAGGATGTGCCCAACATCTCCAAGGCAGCGTTCTTGCTGATCTACCAACTAAAGGAAAGAGACCTCCTCTGGGATCTCCACAAAGCCTGTCTCCAAAGGATGGTCCCGCTGCACGGCGAGGTTCGTTAGGGGAGTAGTGATCGTTGGTCTGGAAATGAAAAATTCAGGAGAACCGGGGGAGAAGTAAGGGAACCCAAAAGGGCCCTGATCCATCTCGAGGGCCATCCTCAGGGGTTGCTTCGTGGGGTCCTGTGCAAGAAAGGAGGAGGTGAGGTGAGCTCACACCAGGCCTTCCTTCTCCGTTCTCTCAGGAGACCCTGAGGATAAGTGGCTGTGACTCCGCCAGCTGTCCTTACAGGGGAGCAAGATCGCACCAAGAACTGAGGTTCCTCACAGGGGTCTTGGGGGATCCCACAGGTTCTCTGAACTTGGCAATCAGAAAAACCTAGGCACTCATTTCAGCTCTGACGCTTCTTGGCAACGTGACCTTAGCAATGACTTAGCCTCTGAACCTCTGTGTTCTCCTCTGAGAAATGGGGATCGGAATACCTCCCTCCCTGGGGTGCTGTGAGGGTCAACGAGCTCTCCTTTGAAAGGCACCTGAGAGGCACCCCAAAGGGGAGCGCTTTCCCACAAGAATACGCCTTGGGGAGAGTGTGTTGGCGATGCCCACAGGGAGGGTTTCTGGAGGACAGGGAGGGCCCCAGGTGAATCCTCACCCAGGCGGGGTTCTGCCAGCAGTGCGAACAGGGCCAGGCGGGTGCGTTTCCATGGTGCGAGGTCAAGTGCACAGGTTTTTTTTTTTTGTTTTTTGGGGGATGGGGGGGAAGCCGTGACTGGCTGGGTGCCCTGGATTTCATGCACCTCCAGCCAGAGGCGTGGGCGGCAGTACCTGAATGGGAGAAGCACGGGGCATGGGATGAAGAACCAGGCGAAGGAGAAAGGGCGAGGAGCCT